GTCATCAACAAGAATTGGCATGTGTTACAGAGTGATCCATGCATTCAAGATCTCTTTAGTGAGAGACGGATTATGGCATACGCGAGATCCAGAAATATCAAAGCCTTGATATCACCTTCTACATCCTCAACACCTGCCGATCTTTCAACTACTTGGTTTACACCGATTAAGGGGATGCACAGTGGCCACTGTGCTAACTGTAACAATACTGTAACAGGTTCTGGGTTCACCCACTCGAGAACAGGCAAACTATTTCCCATCAAAGAGTTCTTGAACTGTCAGTCTGATTGAGTTGTTTATCTAATCAAGTGCCCTTGTGGCCTAGGATATGTTGGTCAAACTTCTAGATCATTAACTGTCGGTATTGGTGTGGATATATTCTTTCTATATCCTTGTATAATTGAAACCATTGACTTGATTTGCATGGTCTGAGGTCTATTGAAATTTTTTCTAATATGGTATAGATGTTCTGTTCACTACATGCTCTTTACACATCTTCCTTGGGGTCTATACATAATAAAATTATTTCACTATGCGCATGGATGGATTGGTCATATAATTTGTTTAGTGGCTTTATTTATTTATTCTGGTATATATCTCCTATATGTAGTGGATGTATTTATTTTTTATTATTGTATGTCTTTTCTTTTTCTTATCTGCTATTCTGATCATTTTTTCTTAGATTCATTTATTTTGACACATAGTATTTAATGTGCTTGGCTTTAGTTCCCTTTTGTATCCTTTTTTTGGGGGGGGCGATGTGCTGCCATTATTGATGCTCCACACGTTGTCCGCACATGCGCAGCTGGCTCCATGGTTTGCATGTTCTCCAGTATTGCGCACCGTGGCAGGGATATCCACTGAGGAGACAGCAATACTTTGTAATACCTGCATATTTTCTGCTTTCCACTTTTTCGATTTGGTTAATGCAGACTCTTTTGTTGTGAAATCTGTCTATTACTGATATGTATATTATCTAGGTTAATACACTTCCTGTTTATTGTTATCCTTGGTAACCATGACCTTGTGACTATGGTTGAGAGGATCCCAATAAATGTGGGTGGCCACCCATTTTACTCTCGTGTTTTGCATTGATGTTTTTGCTTTTGGGTATATAAAGGGGTTTATTCACTTTCACATCATGATCCCTTGATAAAGGCAATCCTGCCAAAACGTTGGAGGCTATTTTGACTTTCTCCCTCTTCTCACTACTTCTGACAATTTATTTTCCTTCTTTTTTGGTATGTATTTTTATGTTGGGTAGCTTGTTTTAGGTATCATTGTGACTCTGTACTGCTAATAGCATTATTGTACTTTTTTGGTTGTTTTTCATGAATACATGTGATTTTTGTATACCTTATATGCTTTTTTGTATTGAGCATTGTTTTGACATTATTGGTGATCTTGTTTGGTAAAAACTTGGGATACCTAGTGGACTGGACCCAACTAATAAAGTATTTTTTTTCATCTCTGTGGTTGTGCTCCTCGTTTGGTATTTTCTTTGGCTTGTTTAATGACTGTGAGAACTGGATAAGAAGACAAATAATGAGGTGATGGAGACACACTGGAAGGGGGAGACTTAGATATCCTAGGAGAGAGGGGGTACTGTAAATTAGTTAGGGGTTATACGTGGAACCAAATAATGTCTAGTTAATTTATAAACTTCAATGTTCAGATTGATAGCCAAGGCACTATAAAATACATCCTCCATCTTCTATATTTAATTCTTCTGTATATTTCTCCCACTATCTCATCATCTTATCAGCTCCTTTCTTCCTCTTTTGTCTTATTTTCTCTTCTTCTGTGTTTATCTACTTCTTCCCACCTTTACCATAAAATGATCCAATCACCACTCTAACAAAGTACTCTTCTTTGCAGTTAGGATACAAGTTGAAGTGTCACTCAAATAAAGCAGGCTATCATCTTCCAATCACTAGCTAACCTCTAAAATACTCAAAATGATCATACCATTTGATCACACAGAAGAATTAATATTTTGTGTTATAGGATATTTTGACGCTCACCGCAAAGAGCACTTATAAGGTTGATAGTGTTGTGACCTCAGTAACAGAGTCTTTGGACCTGTTGGCTGGCTGCACGATCCCTCTAGGAATAAATCAAGAGAGCTAGGCCTAAGAACTGCAAGTGTCTTTGTAAAGGCAAGAGCAATCACATTGCAGTCAGTGGTGCAAATCTGCCTGAAAGAAGGGCTGCAGAGCAATAGGCAGAGGGACAATACCTACCTGAAAGGAGAGCAGCAGCCTGGTCAGTGGAAAAGCTTCAGAGATATCTCAGTCAAGCCTTAGTACCTGGAGCCTGAAGTGTTCCAGGGTCCTGGCAAGTGACTAGGAAGCACACTCAGTCGGAGTACAGGAGCTCCGTCACAAGTGTCTGTAATCCTTTGCATGGTTCACTCTGGATCAGAACTGATGACTGGAAAGGAAGATAAGTAGAAAGCTGGATGTGAAAGAAAAAATAAGCTGTAAGCTTGTGTAAGTTTCATAGCCACCCACTCCGTCTGCATCAGTCAGCTGTGCTTGGTGATTTAACCTGGAAACCAGCAAGAATATAATTGTGGTGTGTAAGGTCTCAGGTATAGTGGAAGGTTGGGGCTGCCTGTGTGTCAATAGTGCCTCTGGCATTAACAGCCTAGACATCTGCCAAGATCACTTGAACATTGAAACGACCAGGCTTAGGACAGGAGAGCTTCCAGTTCACCATTTACATTAGTGGAGGCAGGGTAGTGGCATCCGACTGCAGAGTCGATGTGAGGGTCCGAACCGTTCAGGTGCTCTGTTGATGAGGTGTGAAAATGGTTTGACAATTTACAATCTGGATTGCCAATGCTTTCCTGGAATCATAATTACTACAGTTCACTGTAATGGTTATGGTGCTTGGAGTGTTCTTTTAAAACTACATACCTCCCAAGAGTCCCTATTTTTTTTTTCGAGGGGGAAGTCCCTACTTTGGGCCCATATCCCTCTGTCCCTCTTCTTTTCCAGGAACTCAATATTGTTTGTGTGTCTGAGTGAATAACAGAGCTCCACACCAATAAAAAATAAAGTAACGTGTCTTCAAACTACAACAAATGTGTTAAGAAATAATTCTGTGTAAATGTGATTCATTATTGTTGATTAACACCCCTAAAATTGACGTGCCCCTTTTTTTAATTTGAAAATGTTAAGAGGTACGGTGCTAGCTAGATGGGTACTCTATTGTACCACTTTGAATGTGAAGAAGATAGTTGTCTCAGTTGTCTTGTTTTTTCTTTTTTAGAGGGACCCTCTAGGCACGCACACGTTTGGCATGAAATGCAATTTAGGTTTCAGTTAGTTATGAAAGGTATCTTAATTTGTTTCTTTTCTTTAAAAATTAATTAGCATTGGTCCAGTAGCCCACTATATTGTCTCTCCCTCTCAACTCTGCACTTTTTGCCTTTGAGTCCAATATACTGCAGTACATGGTGCCTTGACTTGGTTGTCTCAGAGATGTAGTTCAACTACTAAGTTGTTTTAAGTTTAATACCAAATTATACTAATTTTTATAAATGAAAGTGCTGAGTAAATGGGGATCAAGACAAGAAAGACATTCTAAATACTTTTTTTCTTTCAGTACCTTACAGCAAATAAGTGATTGTTTAAAATAGGATAAAGTGCTAACAATTACATAAGGTTTAATGGTTACTGCTTTAAGAAGTGTTCATGGTGAGGGCAAACGCTTGAGCTGAGCAGACTCCATTCCTGACTGCTCCTCACCTACCTCCTAAATCTCACTGAAAATAGCAGCACCTTATTGATAAACACTAAAATAAACCGCAGATCCTGGGAGCTGTCCAACACTTTGACAAAAACTGAACCCTTTGTACCCATTGGGCTGAAGTGGTCTGGGTGCCTATAGTGGTCCTTCAACCCCCATTACCCAATAACCCTGTTAGTAATAAAAACTTATCTCTCACAAGTGACTATAAAACAATGGTATTCATGCTATAATGCTTGGCAATATTAATTTGAGGTGCAACATTTAATCCACATTAAATTGTTAGTGAGTTTATACGTTGGATTAAATGGTACAAATGTGGTATTGCAAAGTTACTGTCATCAAGGGTCTAGGTTCTCTCACAGCAAGCTATGTCTTAACATGCAGTCCCTGAAATATATCTCAAGAAATTAGATAAAAATAATAATTAATGATGATAAGATAGTTTGAATACAAAGAGAAATACCCAGGCTCCTTACTTGATAAAAGCTAGGACTAAAATAGCCTCCCTACTTCTTAATAATAGAACAATTATTACACATTCACAAAATGCACAACTTTTGTCAGGGATAAGACTGATAACATAAATATTAATTAATTCATTTATACCAGCGCTGATAATTCTCTTAGACGTGCAGTCTAGACAGAATTGTACAAAATTTTATTCTTTGTGATGAATAAATTACAGTTCTGGTTACAAAGTAAAACTCTAGATTATATATATATATATATATATATATATATATATATATACATACATACACTGTTAAAAGTATCTTAAAGTTAATAACAATTAGGCTTCTTTTGAAACATACTTTATTTACTTTAGTTTTGACCTACATGCCAGAAAAATATTATCTATAATACTGTATTGTCATTCTTATTGACATCCCTTTAATGTTCATTATATATGTTATATTATATAAGCTTATACATAATGTGTAATCATTTTTTTACTGTTTGTAAAACTTTAAAATAATTTCTTAAGGGAAGCCATTACCTTTTTGGAAATGACACCACTAAATTACACTTTTAACTTATTTTACCCATATTTTCCTTGTGATGCTTTCAAATGTATATTAAATATATAACATTTTTACATCAAAATCCAGTTCAGTGCAGCCAGAACCTGGCCACGCACTTTACTGGAGGAGAAACAGAATACTATTATTATTATTATTACTGGTATTTAAATAGCGACAGGATATTCGGTAGCACTTTACAATATTATCAAAGGGGGAGATTTAACAATAAATGAGACAATTACAAAAACTTACGGGAACAATAGGTTGAAGAGGGCCCTGCTGAAACAAACTTACAGTCTATAGGAGGTGGGGCATAAAACACAACAGGACAAAAGATATCAATCAAACAAGGTGGAGTGAAGCAGAGCTGGAGGAGAGAATAGAGTGCTGCCCTTTAGGAGAGAGCAAGGGACAGGTATGTGAGGTAGAGGTTACTGCAAGCGTGAGTTAGCAGTCAGGGTGCGAGCAGTAGACAAGAGAAGGTCATGGGCAGAGCGGAGAGACCGAGAAGGGGCATACCTGCGGATCACTGAAGAGATATAGGAGGGGCTAGAATTGGTCAGTGCTTTATAGGTGTGGATTAGTACCTTGAATTGACTCCTATAGGATACAGAAAACCAATGTAAGGACTGACAGAGGGGAGAGGTGAGGGAGGAGCAACATGAGAGAAAAATCAGTCTAGCTGCAGCATTCATTACAGACTGTAGCAGGGCAATACGACTTGTGGAAAGAGAGTTACAATAATCCATGCAAGAGATAAGAGCATAGACAAGCTCCTTAGTAGCATCTTGCATCAGAAAGGGGCAGATGCGGGCTATGTTTTTAAGGTGGTATCTACAAGATTTGGTAACAGACTGGATCTGAGGCCAGAATCAAAAATAACGCCAAGACAGCACGCTTGCAAGGATGGGCTGATGTGGGTACCCCCTACTGAAAGCAGAGAGCAAGAGAGAGAAGTATCATTATTGGTAGAAGGAAAGACAAGAAGTTCAGTTTTAGAGAGATTGAGTTTCAAAAAGCGGGAGGACATCCAATCAGAGAAGGAAGAAAGGCAAGCAGTGACACGTTGCAAAACCTCAGGGGAGAGGTCTGGGGAGGTGAGGTATATCTGAGTGTCAACAGCACACACGTGGTATTGGAATCCAAATGAGGTAATAAGTTTGCCAAGAGAGGCAGTATAAAGAGAAAATAGAAGGGGACCAAGTACAGAGCCTTGGGGGACTCCAACAGAGACAGGACGAAGGGAGAAAGTATCATTAGAATAGGAGAAAATGAATGAGCGTTGGGAGAGATAGGAGGAAAACCAAGAGAGGATAGTGTCACATAGAGTGATTAAAGAGAAGGAGAACATGGTCAACAGTGTCAAAGGCAGCAGAGAGGTCAAGAAGAATTAGTATGGAGTAGTGGCCTTTGGATTTAGCTGTGATTAGGTAATTAGTAACTTTAATCATAGCAGTCTCAGTAGAGTGGAGGGGGCAGAAGGCACACTGAAGAGTTTCAAGGAGAGAGTTGGAATTGAGGAAACAAGTCAGACAAGTAAAAACAAGTCTTTCCAGAAGCTTTGAGTAAAAAGCAAGCAGGGATATGGGACGTTAGTTAGAAGGGGAGGACGGGTCAAGAGATGTTTTTTTAAGATGGGTACTACAGTGGAATGTTTAAGGGCAGCAGTGACAACGCCAGAAGAGAGCAGTTGAAGATGTGTGTTAAATAAGGCACAAGACAAGTAGAGAGACAGGACAGGATCAAGCGGGCAAGTGGTGGGGTGAGAATAGATGAGGAACTCTTTCCCAAGACAGAGCTAAAAACAATAGAGTGGATTGCTACATTACATTTTACCTTTTCAGAACTCAGAAAAAAAACATCTATATTAAAAATACTTTAAAAATCCCATGAAGTGAAAATTTAAAAAAAAGAAAAAGTAAAAAGTAAACAGCAGGGTGCAGCAGTAAGAACAGGAAGGAATGCCTTCAGCATCTTTTTCCAAAGATTTATAATTAACCTCTTAAGGACACATGACGTGTGTGACATGTCATGATTCCCTTTTATTCCAGAAGTTTGGTCCTTAAAGGGTTAAAGGGACACTATAGTCATAAAACAACTTAGGCTCAATGAAACTGTTTTGGTTGATAGATCATGACCCTGCAGTCTCATTGCTCTATTATCTGCTATTTAGGAGTTAAATCACTTTGTTTATGCAGGCCTAGTCACATCTCCCTGCATTTGACTTACACAGCCTTCCTAAACACTTTCTGTAATTAATCATTTAATATTTACACATCCTTGATTGCAAATTTGTAGACATGTGCAATTCGTTCGGTGCGAATGTTAATTTGGACAAATTTTGGACAATTTGGACATTCAGGTACTTCCGAATGTCCGAATAGCTGAATTGCCGAATTGTCGAAGTTCCGAATTGCCGAAGTCCCGAAGTTCCGAAATTTCAGAATTTCCGAAGTGCCGAAGTTGCCGAAGTTCCGAAGTGTCAAAGTTCCAAAGCACAGTATTGCCTAAGTACTAATATACTTACCCAGTGGAAGAATGAAGAATGTTACACTGTATACAAGTTTAAATAAAAAGTATACAAACATAGCCAGGATTCAGCTGTAAGCATTTGCAACACTTACAACAATCAAGTAGCACACATTCATATAAAATGTAAGTTACTTAGCCTGTCAATGGAATGACAGGAATGAATAAGTAGATTCCCACAGTATTAGGGAGCTATCTCCTAAAAGGCTGAAAGACCTAATTTGGTCTTTCAGCCAAATTTACTAATACTAAGTAAAAATTACCGCGAGTAGGGGCATGTCTAGTAAACGGTGAGCAGCCTGTGGTATAATCCCATGGCACTAGGGAGCTATCTACTAAAAGGCTGAAAGACTTAAATTGGTCTTTCAACCAAATTTACTAATACTAAGTAAAGATTACCGCGAGCAGGGGCATGTCTAGTAAACAGTGAGCAGCCTGTGGCTGCTCACTTTAAAAAAAAAAAAAAAGTCCCCCCTCCCAAGCCCCCACCCAAGCCGCATGAGTGGGGGCTTCTAACATGAAGGGAGGACCTATTGCCCCCCCGCCCCCACCCCTGAACGGCAGGTTGGGGCCCTAAGTTAGAATAAGGGAGGGGACCTATGGTCCACCCCCCCACCCCCAAGCGGTGGGTGGGGGCCCTATATACCAATTAAGGGGGGGCCTAATGTCCTACGCCCTGGCCCCCACCCCTGAGCAGTGGTTGGGGCCCTAAATTAGAATATGGGGGGAACCTAATGTCCTCCCCCTTGGCCCCCACCCATGAGCAGTGGGTGGGGGCCCTAAATACCAATAAGGGGGGACCTAACGTACTCCCCCATGGCCCCCATCCCTGAGCGGTGGGTGGGGGCCCTAAATTAGAATAATGGGGGACCTAATGTCCTCCCCCTTGGCCCCCACCCATGAGCAGTGGGTGGGGGCCTTAAATACCAATAAAACCTAAATTTAAGACCTAAATTGGTCTTTCAGCCTTTTGGTAGATAACTCCCTAATACCATGGGAATTATCTACTAAACAGCTGCAAGAGAAGTGCCGAAGTCCCGAAATGCCAAAGTTCCGAAATTCCGAAGTGTCGAAGTTCCTGAAGTTGCCGAAGTTCCGAAGTGTCGAAGTGCCGAAGTTCCGAAGTGTCGAAGTGCTGAAGTGCCGAACTAAACCGAAGTGCTGAAGTCCCGAAGTGCCGAAGTCCCAAATTGCCAAAGTCCCGAATTTCGGAATGTAAAACCGAACCATCTCATATTAATACAGTGCATCATTCTTTACATAGTTACATAGTTACATAGCTGAAAAGAAACTTGCGTCCATCAAGTTCAGGCTTCCTCACATATGTTTTTGCTGTTGGTCCAAAAGAAGGCAAAAAACCTAGTCTGAAGCGCTTCCAATTTTGCAACAAACTAGGGGAAAAAATCCTTCTTGACCCCAAAATAGCAGATAGCAGATTCTGGCTTTGTTCTTTCTGATATTAACACAGTTTGTCAAACTGCACTGTTCCTTCTCATATAAATGCAATGAGTCATTTGGTGTCAACTTTGATGTAGGATGTTGCTCTCCCCCTTCTTTTCATACGAATACACGCTTACCTCATGTACCTTTTTGGCTTTGTGAAAGTGATGCTCGCCAGTAGCATATATATTCTCGCTGTTCTGTTTAATCGCTTATGGTTCATGTTACCTGAGAGTGCATTGTAATCCTTGCGTTACTGTATTGGTATTGACAGGGCTCTGCTTGACTACTCTGATTTCTGATTCACTTTCACCTCTACTTTCCTTTTGAGCTATTCTCCTGGACCTCGTTAAGACCAGCCACCCTGAAGACCAGTAATACATACCTATCCTACTTTTCTCCTTTTGGGGCTCTGCTATATTGTCCTATTCTCTGTGTGTTGGGGATACTGAACCCAGACATGAATGTAGCAAAGGCTGTGAATTCTCTGTTTCAGAAAACAAGATGTCCCCTTTGCTTGCAGAGTCTAAGAGTAGAGGAAACTAGGCATGTGGAGAATATGAGTCCTGGAGACCCTAAAACATGCAAATCCTATGGTCATAAATGATCTTATTTGGCTGAAACACTTGGTCTCACTTGACTTCTCTGATTATATATAAGTTGATAGAGATTTGGAACCGCCATCAGGTTGAGTGTTTTCACTACTGTAGGGGCTGTCTACAATAGAGTGTGTTATTCTTATCGTTCAACCTTATCCATTCTCTACTAAATTAAAAGCTTTGTGTTTTAAAGGTTGAACTCCATGGACTTGAGTCTTTATTCAACCCAGATGTCTATGTGCCCTCTCTTAATCACTTAACAACTTTAAACTTTATTTCTTTCACGTTACCCTCAAATTGCTAACGATGTATTCTTGTTTGTGTTACTTCTATACTCATAGACATGATATGTCTTTTTAGGGGATTGAAGCAAAGATAATACCTTGTGACATATATATATATATATATATATATTGTAAATGTTCATTGGTATAATGCATGCAGTTTCAATCATTTCAGTTTCTTCCACATAACTAATGTAAATGTTAAGCGGTTCTCCATTCAGTCTTCCATTAAGAACCTATTAAAAGCAAAATACATAAACACTTATAAGACACAATGTGAATAGTACATAACGCTTTGCATTATAAACTTTCATCAATATTCATGCATTTTAATGTTTTGTAATGAACAAAAACAGTGAATAGTGGTGAACTGACAAAACAATTACAAACATTTGGATATTGTGATTAACTCTTCATGAATTGGTGGTAACTTGGATGATACTATCTGTGCAGTAAATGCATTATAACTTTTTTTCTTTACAGTTTGCTTTCAGAAGAACAAGTCTGTTGGCAGACCTATTTTTTTGAATACTTAAATGTCAACATTCTGGAGGGAGTTTCAAGATAGGTAG